GGATTATCAGCTTAGTGATTCTAAGCAATAGAAGCACTTCACAAAAATTTGGCCATTTTGAGATATCCTTGATGTGCATTGGTCAACAGTACTTCATCCTAATTAGTATTACTGTGAAACTAAGGCACCTACCGATTGGAAGAACGAAACTGAAGCAATTTCCATGATTTTGAGGTTACAGGTGATGACCACTATACAATACATTGTACTTTGTCCATATTTCACTGTCGATTTTACTCAAAAAACCATTGGTTTTATAATTTTTTTTGTCTTTCTTTGCTTCCTAAATCAAACGGTTTGATGATTTCCCGATGACAGTTTTGAGGAACATTCTGTGATACATATCATTTTGAGGTCTCTGGTACGCTGATTGAATTCCTCATGTGTTTTTGTATGAGAGAAGGAAAAAATGCCATAAACTGGTAAATTTATCATTCTGCTGCTGCTGCATCCGAGTTAGCAATCTGTACAATCTTCATGGATGAAGCTGGAGGACTGCATGCATCTGGCGTATTTTGCTCTAAAATAAATTCCGTTTCCAAAAACTACTATATTTTATACACAGCGATAGAACAAATTTTGCAATCTGGGTAAATCTACGTTTTCAAATAATTCTTAACACTCCATTTTTTACGCTCAAGCACGGACAATTCAAGGAAAGGGCGTAAAAGATCGAGGGATCGGATTATCTGACTCAAAATTTTAGTGCGGAAAACCCACGAAAAGCTGGCAAGAATTGGAAAATGTCTGAAATACATAGAATAGTTGCTTAGACAATGCTTTGTAGGGTGATTTATATGTGGACGGCATACACAGCTTCAATTGTTGTAACGGAATACGAGGGCCGGTAATGTAATGGATAACATGTCACAATCTGAAGCTTCCGGAGGGGTTCGATTCCTCCTGGTTCGCACTCATACATTGGTGGATCCAGAGGGAGGGAGGCGAGGGGTCGGTCTTTTGTCCGTCCCCTCCGGAAGCTCAGATAGCAGAAAACTCTGTTCGATACCGCCTGTCGCCCTCCTCGCCCCTCCGCCTATGCACTCATATGTATATATTCGCTCTCAGTGGGAAGCGGGGGTGTCTAGGCTATTTCTCTTTTCACGGAGGAAGCAAACACAAGAGGGTTTCGATTTTCTAAAAAATATCAAGAAGATCTGAGGGTCCGAAAAATCGCAAAAAATGAATAACCAAAAATTCCTAGTTTTAAGTGGACAAAAATTTGAAAGCACATAGCTTCAAAGGGCGTTTGTACAGTCTCATCGAAATCAGTGCAAATTCAGAAAAGATATGAAGTCTAAAAAATTCCACGAACTTATCCTAAACTGCTCGTTTCTTTTCGCTTACAACGCTACTATCTCCGGTGAAATACGCGATAAGAGGATATAATAAAGCACCAAAAAAAGCAGTTACTACGGTTGCTTGCAGAGCTACGATTTTTGGATCGTAGCCTGTTGGAGTTTCACGGAGATATGCTTTCCAGTGGGCCAATTGCTTGGCCAGATCAATTCCTAGCAGAGGTTCAACGCTGAAACCTAGATAGGCCTGGAACAGGTCCTGTGGTAATCGGTTTCCAATCAGTTTCGGATTTTCTGCGCTTTCCGTAACGATTCCCTGTTCCACTCGTATCCGATCGCTGTACAATGGCAATGTGAACTGTGGCGTACGACCATAAATCCAATCCCAGCTTCGGAGTTCCCGCTCACATTCCAGCAAACCCGGGAATTGAGCATCATCAGTCAAATTTTCCGACAGCACCAGCACTTTTGTGTCCTGAAATGTTCGGCACAATTGAGAGGTGTGTGTTGTGTGTGTGTGTGTGTGTGTGTGTGTGTATGTGTGTGTGTAGAACTTTAACAAGAAAGTTATTCGTCTGCCTCGATGTGAGTTTTACACAAGAGAGAAGTGAAATTTTGTTTAAATCGATAAAAATTTCAAAGCACATAGCCAGAGGGCGTTTGGACAGTATTTCAACAGCATCATTGCAAATTCAGGAAGATATAAAACCTAAAAATCCCACTGATTTAATGGACCGAAACATTCCTGTTCCACTAAATGAAACTCCTAAAGAAACTCGTGTGTATGTGGAATTTATAATGTGAAACATGCGGTTAAGTGGGATGAAGATTGTATTAATGGTATATATATGCAGAACATGAAAATTGGTTAATCCCGGAACAGGAATATTTCGATCCATTAAGTCATATACATCCTTATTCAGCACCAGAACTGGATTTCGTTCATCGGCGGATCCAGGGTGACTTCCTGGGGACAGGGAGACGGCCAAAGGGAGGGGAGGGGGGGAGGAGAGGGAGGAAAGAATAGGGCTCCTGGAGGAGAAACAGGAACAACAAGGGGAGAGGGGAGATGTGTGAGACAATTTTCTTCAGTTCTAGCTTTAAACCCGCACTTTTGTAGCATTGGTGCCTGTG